TCGCTTTTAAAGCACCAGCACAAACAAACAAACACACAAAAATGACTGGCAACAAGTTAAATCCCATTTGTGTCCCTCCCACCGAGCGCGGACGGTGCCTCGCTAAAGCCTGGGGTTTGTAGTTTTGCCTCGACCACGATTTGACCAAGAAAGAGGAGCGGCTGCACACAGACTTTCCGTGCAGTGACAATGCCGAGAGGAAAAACGTTGAAAGAAACTGTTCTCCCGGGATGCATCTCCTTTGTGTGTTTTCTCCTCTCCATCTTTTAGATGGGGCGCTCGCATAGGCTTGCACGCACGCACGCACGCACACACACACACACACACACATCGATAGAGGTTATGTTTCCCAGGGAGTTTTTAGAAAACAATGTTTATTATAATCGAGCTATAAAGTCCATCTAAATAATGAAATCATGCCGTAGCTCCGGAAACTCCAACAAATAAATAATTTCCATTTGCCTACTAGCAGAATACTAGCAGAGGATGGCATTACACTTTATTTTCACGCTCATTTCAAAACATCAATAAAAGAGGGTAAAGAAAGCGCTCACAGGTCCTTGTCCCCGCTGGAATTAGTAAAACGATATCCTTTTAGGAGTAGGTAACATTTTCCCCCCTTCCTCTTCTTCCAAGGCGACTACAAGCTAATTTCTGTAGTTATATTAAATAGTGAATCCGCGAAGCAAGAAGGGTGTTCTCACTGAGGGTCGTGATCACGTCCCAGTAAGGCTCCACTGAAAGGCTCTCACAGTGAGCCACCTGGATTCCCGCGCCTTCCCTTATTTTTACCTTACAGAATCGCGGAAAAAACATTCGTGTTTGGCTGTGCTAAATGTACCTAAAAGATACCTTTTCACGCAATCGCAGGGTTTGCAAATGATAGTTTAACTTTATCTGTTGTGGTGGGCACGTGTTTTGTCATATGAAATTAACTTGTGAAAGCCTTTGTATCATTTTTTTGATTCGTGTTTGGCGACAACGCGGATCGTATCTCATCGCGTTGATGGTTGATACAATTGCTAAATTAAAGGCATGTTTTCGGCTTTCAAAAACAACAACAAAAAAACCAACCCTCTGAGAGCTCATCCTCAGCAAAACCACCCGAGGAGCAGTATAATAACGCAGCGCAGTATTTTCCATGCGTGTGCGATATCTCCATGTACTTCTGTATCATTCTGCGTCTCTATTGTCTGTGCCTAAAGATAGCCAAGTCACTCCTGGGCTTGTCACCTATAATCGCCGCCTTAAAGAACGTACGGACGGTATACGGATAATCCCTCTAATTGCTTGGAGGAATGTAATTGGCGTTATATTTTTTCTGTGTCTGTACGTGTACCTATTCTCCCGTGGTAAATATTAGCAACTGAACTGCTTGTCTTGAAGCGTTTCTATGTCTGAGCCCCAAGAAGCGCACCAAATCGTTGCAATAAAGTGATCGAACCTTCCTAGCAAGGCGCAGTTTTGTTTTCTCTGCTTATGTTCTGCTTCTCATCTCAAAGGAGGACACCGCGTTGAGCCAAGTGTTCTGGTTTAGGCGCTTCTCCGGACTTTCGGATTTTAAGACTGTGTCTTTCAGTATGTTGGGGCTGAAATTACGATTTTCCACATTTCAAAAGGGACGAGGCTCTATTTATAAATGTTACAGAAGGTTTCGTTACTTCAGGAACAACAAAACAGGAATAGAGCTGCAATTTTCAAGAAAATAGGATTTCAAAATATAGAAATAAAAAAAGTAGCGGAGACGATGTATAATTCAATCAAATTACAGAAAATTGCTTTAAAATTCAGAACAGTAGCGATCCATTATGTCTCTGTTTTATTAGTGACAAGTACAATTACTCTAAAATAAAGAACACTGGTGAATATATAATTGGCTGTAATCATGTTAGTGTTTGAATAAAAATGACGGGGACATTTAACACTTTGACAACAAA